CAAAGGCTCACAGTTGTGCAACAGAACTGATTTTCATCAGGAATGCAGCTGAGCAGGCACAAATTAAACTTCCCTTACCCTTGTACTGCAAGCCCATAAAAACATGGGCTAAGCCTATTGTAGCAAGAACATTACATATAGTTCTTCATGATGCATTTAGGATCACAGTTAGTTTATCCTGGGAGGGGGGGGGAGACCTTTCAATGTACCACTGTTTTCTATTTTATGATTAATATATCTGGAGATACTGTACTTTACTTTAAAGAGAAGATTGGTCTCTGGAGCTGTTTACAGTTAATATCCATAGAACAGGGAAAACAATGTGGTATGCTCTACATATTTTGGACCACACTCCCAGTGTAACAACTGACCACTGACCAAGAAACCCAGATGGCCCAGTGTTCTTTCTCCTGACCACAGATGTACAAATAATTACCCTATACATAATACTTCAGTGCTCAAAATTTGCATAAAATGATTTATTAAACAAAATTTGTTTTGGAGGGATTTTAACTTTTTAGAGTTCATTAAGCGCATGTGCACTTATTTCATTTCCTGTGGGGAAACAACCATATGATTGATGTTCAGAGTTCCACCAACAATTTTCAGCACTATATTCCCGGCTAACTCTTGGGGCAGCAAAAAAGAAGCTTGGGCAACTATTCTGTCCCTTAAACTCTCCCTATCCCTCCAAAAAAAATCAATTGACATGTATTTTAGCAGTGTTCTGGAGGATGCAAAAGAACAGTAGAGAGCACATGTTAGAGACTACTCTTAACCGAGAGTACATAACTCTTAGCTTCTCTTCGGAGGCTCTAATTTTACCAGGCACAAAAATTTGGTTTTAAAAAATTACTTTTATTGTGAAACACAGGAATGTACCATAAGTAATGAACTGACAGATGTTGGAAAATTCTTGATGCATGTACTTTGAGTTCACAAACTAATTAGCCTTAAAGCAAGCCATTATAAATTTAAATTTTTGAAATGCATTCCTAAATATCTAATGTATCTCTAATTTCTATAACATGCAGTTTCTATATAGCTCTCCTCTTACCTCTGCCAGGGCTTCAGCTTCTAGTGATTTCTGATCCCCAAGACTACTATGCCGAGTTGAGCTACAGGTAGACCTCAGAGGATGGCCATCACTCAATGTCTTTCTATCTGGATAATTGATACTGCCAGCACTTCCAAACGTTGCCATCCTGCGTTTTTCTGGGCTTTCGATCCTGCCTCTGTTCAATGGCAGCATGTGAGGACTGCTAGGACAAGCTGCTGCTCGAGGAGGAGTATCTATTCCTGGACCAAAACCTCTTGGGGGACTATGTGTGTCACCCCCACTTCGACGCCGAGGGATTGCTGCTCCATCAGATCTTAACCTCACCCTGGAAAATAAGATCCACATGCTTGTGAAATCTTTGCTCCAAATTTCCAAATTCAGCTGAACTGATGACTAATGTTCACTGAGCTGTTTTTAGGGAGGGGAAGGTACCCACTGCCTTGCAAATGGCAGTGTGTATCCTTTCTTGAAAAAGTTATCTCTGGACCCAGCTATTTGGTAACTTGTGCCGAGTTTCCAACCTTCCCTATTTAGGGAAGTTCTCAAGAAGGTTGTGGGACATCAATTACAAAGAATATTGAAAGAAGTGGATAATCTCAGTCTCTTCCAGTCTGGCTGCAGGCCTGAATGTGAGACAAAAACAGTGTTGGCACTTTGGTGGATGTCTTTGGGGGGGGTGTGGCTTTCCTGGTCTATTAGACCCCTCAGCAGCATCTGATACCATCAACCATGGTATCCTTCTGAAACTTCTGCAAGGATTAGGAATGACCACTATCATTTTACAGTGGTTGTACTCCTTGAGTGAACAGCTCCACTTGGTGACCATAGGGGAAGGAGAATCAAACCTTTGACCCTTTCTATGTGGGCTACTATAGGCACTCCCTTATGTTATTTATCTATCTGAAACTGCTGAAATATCTTCTCTTGGTTCAAGATAATGTATCACTAATAAGCAGGTAATATCCAGTTGCACATTTCTTATCTGGCCTCTGCTGAAGATGTTCTTATCCAGGGTCTGGGGCTGTCAGAGAATGGATGGGATGAAAGAAACTCAGTGATTTCCAAAAAACCCAAGAGTTGCTGTTTGACCAGAAACCATCTGGTTCATTATCAGCTCCAGTGTTAGCTTTAAAGGAGGTCACACTTCCTATGAAGGAATAGTTCTGTGATCTGGGAATTCTGTCTTCATGGCTTCTGCTTGTTCAGTAGGTCCCTGATCAGGGATACCTTTACCCCACTCTGTTTTGTGTGACAGTTGCTACTGTTTTTTGAACAACAATTCCTGGCAACATAAGTCTTGCCCTGTTACTTCCCAGCTGGATTACTGCAATGAGCTCTGTTGGTGGCTGCCTCTGAAGATGACTTGGAATTTCAGCTAGTGTAAAACAGGACATTACTATGAGAGGCAAGAGCCATTTTAGCAGAATTACACAAGTGGTGGCTGCCTATTTTTTAGAGATTTAGTTCAAACTTCTGGTTATGACCTACAAAGGCCTGCAAGGATCAGGTACAGGCTGCCTTTGGGACAAACTGTTCTAAGCAGAATCTGTGCTATGATTTGACCCTCTGTGGTCAAATCAGAATGAGATGCCTCACATTCCTGCCCCTGAAGAAGCAATGGCTGCTATAGTGTTATAGAACGGCTTGACCCCTGTGGCTCACTTCTTGCCTTTTTGAAACAATGGACACCATAACTTTTCATTACGTCTTTGGAGTTTAATGTTTTTGCTGATACTGTTACAGTTTTAGTTATTTTATGACATGGTCATTTTTTAAATAAATCATTTTTGTTGCTTATACCTAAGCAGCCTAAAGTCTACTAACTTCCAGTAGACCCAATGAATTAAATCAATATGCATGCTTCTTCCAGTTTAAACTTGACATTAACGTACAAATCAGCTCACAGATTTCCTGCAATCTATGCATTCAGATTTTCTTGCCTGTAGCCAGAAAAGAAAGGGGAAGAGAGATAATACTTGCACCCAAATGAGAACAAAGCGTTTTTTTACCGTCCCATTACTCCTCCAAATCCATAGTCTGGCATGTGATCTGTTGGAGACTGGATGTCATTCTTCGATGAGGCTTTGTCATCCAGAAGGGGCCCACTGCTTGCTTCGCTGTCTGCCTTCTGACTAAGGCTGTCAGAAAAAGCATCATCCCTGCGAATTACAAAACCCTTGGTTAGACTGAACTGCCCGAGGGGGGAAAAGCTTATTTATTAATCCATGCCAGCTGGTGGATGGAAAGGGTGATGGGTGTGGTTGAATATTTAGAGGAAAACAGAGTTATCAGAGATATCAGAAAGATTTGGGTTTCTACCCTGCTGCCCATTCATCCTTGAAAACTTTATATAAATCCCTGTACATAACATACAGGGGGACGCAGTGGCGCAGCGGCTTAATGACGCTGAAAGTTGCCGGCCAGAAATGGTCG